TTATCTTTGCATAAATAACTGATAAATGCATTCATTGTAATATTTGCAGATTCATTCATTTTTACATCTTAAATTGGTTGTTTGTCGTGTTTTAATGCATTATAGGTGTATCAGATAAGTATTATAATGCATTATTCATGAGATCATACAATGCAATCAGTTTATGTAAAAAAAATGTTTATTTCAATGTGTTCATTTGAGAAATTTACTAGGAATTTCTGTAATATTTTACTTATAAATGCATTATAAAGGTATTCAGAATTTACATTATAATGCATTTTATCTTTGCATAAATAACTGATAAATGCATTCATTGTAATATTTGCAGATTCATTCATTTTTACATCTTAAATTGGTTGTTTGTCATGTTTTAATGCATATCAGATAAGTATTATAATGCATTATTCATGAGATCATATAATCAATGCATTCAGTTTATGTAAAAAAAGATGTTTATTTCAATGTGTTTATTTGAGAAATTTACTAGGAATTTCTGTAAGATTTTACTTTTAATGCATTATAAAAGTATTGAGAATTTATATTATAATGCATTTTATCTTTGCATAAATAACTGATAAATGCATTCATTGTAATATTTGCAGATTCATTCATTTTTACATCTTAAATTTGTTGTTTGTCATGTTTTAATGCATATCAGATAAGTATTATAATGCATTATTCATGAGATCATACAATCAATGCATTCAGTTTATGTAAAAAAAGACGTTTATTTCAATGTGTTCATTTGTGAAATTTACTAGGAATTTCTGTAAGATTTTACTTTTAATGCATTATAAAAATATTGAGAATTTATATTATAATGCATTTTATCTTTGCATAAATAACTGATAAATGCATTAATTGTAATATTTGCAGATTCATTCATTGTTACATCTTAAATTGGTTGTTTGTCGTGTTTTAATGCATTATAGGTGTATCAGATAAGTATTATAATGCATTATTCATGAGATCATACAACGCATTCAGTTTATATATAAAAAAACATGTTTATTTCAATGTGTTCATTTGTGAAATTTACTAGGAATTTCTGTAAGATTTTACTTTTAATGCATTATAAAAGTATTGAGAATTTATATTATAATGCATTTTATCTTTGCATAAATAACTGATAAATGCATTCATTGTAATATTAGCAGATTCATTCATTTTTACATCTTAAATTGGTTGTTTGTCATGTTTTAATGCATATCAGATAAGTAATGCATTATTCATGAGATCATACAATCAATGCATTCAGTTTATGTAAAAAAAGATGTTTATTTCAATGTGTTCATTTGTGAAATTTACTAGGAATTTCTGTAAGATTTTACTTTTAATGCATTGTAAAAATATTGAGAATTTATATTATAATGCATTTTATCTTTGCATAAATAACTGATAAATGCATTCATTGTAATATTTGCAGATTCATTCATTTTTACATCTTAAATTGGTTGCTTGTCATGTTTTAATGCATATCAGATAAGTATTATAATGCATTATTCATGAGATCATACAATCAATGCATTCAGTTTATGTAAAAAAAGATGTTTATTTCAATGTGTTCATTTGTGAAATTTACTAGGAATTTCTGTAAGATTTTACTTTTAATGCATTATAAAAGTATTGAGAATTTATATTATAATGCATTTTATCTTTGCATAAATAACTGATAAATGCATTCATTGTAATATTTGCAGATTCATTCATTTTTACATCTTAAATTGGTTGTTTGTCGTGTTTTAATGCATTATAGTTGTATCAGATAATATTATAATGCATTATTCATGAGATCATACAATGCATTCAGTTTATATATAAAAAAACATGTTTATTTCAATGTGTTCATTTGTGAAATTTACTAGGAATTTCTGTAAGATTTTACTTTTAATGCATTATAAAAGTATTGAGAATTTATATTATAATGCATTTTATCTCTGCATAAATAACTGATAAATGCATTCATTGTAATATTTGCAGATTCATTCATTGTTACATCTTAAATTGGCTGTTGTCGTGTTTTAATGCATTATAGGTGTATCAATGAATAGACAAGTATTATAATACATTATTCATGAGATCATACAATGCATCATATACAACCACTTAAAGTAAAGTGTTACCAGAAGTAAAGCCTTTATCTATAATGCATTAGAAAGTTATTCATAATGTAGATTCGAATGCATTATTTCATAAATAATTCTAATCAAAGTTAAAATGCATTATAATATTTCCAGATTCGTTGGTTGTTTCTCATGCGTTTTAATGCATTATACTTTCTAAAGGCCTAACATTAATATTATAAAGTATTATTAACCGTTTAAAATAATTCATGAGACTATTATAAAGTGCATTACAAGCCATAATTAATGCATTGAAAATACTTTTATAATGCATCACATGAATTAGCCATTTTTTTGTGCATGACCCACACACTATAAGTCTTTATTATAAAAGTAAATAATGACTTATGACTTATGAACAATCTGTTTCCTTAATAAGAGTCGGATTGTGTGGAAATCTCTCAATAACGACATGAATCGATGTTCAAAAACCCTTATGATGCAACGATCAACGTTAAAGCCAGCAGTAACTATGATAAATATGATCTTAGCTTAAACACACAGTGTGAATTCATGTTCAAACCACAGACTGGCCCATTAATATCCAACACTCGTAAAAAGGCTTTTTATTCATTACTGGATATCAGGCACGTATTCTCCCACAAAGCAACACCATCAGTCTTGGATTATTAAATTATTTCGAGTCTCTGAGAGTTGTCTGCACGTCGGCCGCTCGACTGCTGTGCATTTGAAACGTCATGTTCCCTTAATAAATAGCGCCTAACAGCGCATATCTCAAGAGTCTGCGTTCGTCTGGAAGTAATATACATTATGAGAGCGCGTGCGTTACATGATTGATGACACAGATCTACACTTTAGACTATATTAGAAAGTAATTTACAAGAGCAAATTGTGCGCACTGATTGCATTATGATTTTGTTTGTATTGTTTTAGCGTCTGATTCAATAAGGAACTGTTAAACAGCCCTTTTTGATTTAACTAAACGGTAACACTTTACTTGAAGGGGTGTGCATAAGACTGACACGACACCTTCATAATCATGTTTTTATGACAACTGTCATTAAGTGTCATTCGCTCAGTTATTACATTTTTAATGCAAATATGACATTGTTTAAGATCTAAGTCATATTTTTTTTAGATTTTTTCTTTTATTATTAATTGTATTTATTTTTTTCCCTATGCCTGGGTGTGTCTATATGTATTTGGTCCATTGTGTATGTTTATGGATATGGGTATGTATTTATTTTATTTTTATTTTTTTATTTATGCCCGTGTGTGTCTATATGTTTAAGATGTAAACAATATCATATTTGAGATTTTTTTTTAAAGTTTTTTTTTATTATTATTATCTATTTTTGTATTTTTTTCCCCCTATGTCTGGGTGTGTCTATATGTATTTGGTTCATTGTGTATGTTTATGGATATGAGTATGTATTTATGTTTTTTTTTTTATTGTATTTTTTTTATTTATGCCTGTGTGTCTATATGTTTAAGATGTAAACAATGTCATATATGAGATTTTTTTTATCATTATTATTATTATTATTATTTATTTTTATTTTTTTCCCCTGTGTCTGGGTGTGTCTATATGTAGTTGGTTCATTGTGTATGTTTATGGATATGGGTATGTATTTATGTTTTTTTTTATTTATTTTTTTTATGCCTGTGTGTGTCTATATGTTTAAGATGTAAACAATGTCATATTTGAGATTTTTTTATCATTATTATTATTATTTATTATTTATTTTTTTCCCCTGTGTCTGGGTGTGTCTATATGTATTTGGTTCATTGTGTATGTTTATGGATATGGGTATGTATTTATGTTTTTTATTTCTTTTTTATTTTTTTTATTTATGCCTGTGTGTCTATGTTTAAGATGTAAACAATGTCATATTTGAGATTTTTTTTTTAATTATTATTATTTTTTTTCCTGGGTGTGTCTATGTATTTGGTTCATTGTGTATGTTTATGGATATGGGTATGTATTTATGTTTTTTTATTTTATTTTTTCATTTATGCCTTTGTGTGTCTATATGTTTAAGATGTAAACATGTCATATTTGAGATTTTTTTTAAAGATTTTTTTAAAAATTATTATTATTATTATTTATTTTTTATTTTATTTATTTTCCCCTATGCCTGGGTGTGTCTAAATGTATTTGGTTCATTGTGTATGTTTTTGGATATGGGTATGTATATATAAATATAATTAGGTTTATTGTATATGTTCAGTTATATCTATGTAATTTTCTGGATATTTTAAAAAAAATTTTATAGACTTGAGTGCTTGTATAAGATTGGATAACTGTTGCACCACACCCACCCAGGCCTGCGGCCAATTCCTTGAATTATGACTCTTTAAATTCTGTATATTGTTGCCATTGACTGTTTGAAACGTTAATCATTTTATACTAATAAATATATTAAAAACGTTCTGTGCTCCGGTCCTGCTCCTTGGTCTTAGTTAGTCCTTGGGTCCTTTTCCTCAGATTGTTTGAGATGTCTTTGTTATGACACTTTGACATAAACCAATACATCATCTTTGTCATGACATGTGTATATCAGTGAACTGTATAGTCAAGCCGCGCTGCTGTTTAACATTCTGCTATTGCCTTGTATCTGCGAAGGATAAATGCAATGCTGGCCTAGATCGTGATCAAACGAGCTTTAAGATTTGGGAAGCTGCACGTCAAGAGTTTCCTACACACCACACACACTGTAAAACACTGCAGCGTTTCCCAAAACATCAAACGCAGGAGATCATAGACGGCTTATGATGCTTTCAGAGAAATTATCAACGCATACCATCTAAAGTCTTCATAACTTTACAAATAAAAAGTTTTTGCGCATGCAAACACCCTAACGCATTAATAAAGCTGCGTCGAGATTATAGAAGTGAAACACACAGATGTTGTACCTCTTTGTGGGCTTCGCTGGAGATGCGGTTGGTGTAGCGCAGAACCTCCAGCTCCATGTCAGTCTTCAGCAGACGACTACACACACACACACACACAGATAATGAGAATATTAATGTGCATATATGAAGATATAAAGCAATGCGAGGCTGTACGTTACAGTGATTTGTACCATGAAGCTACTTTACAAAGTTTAGGGTTCGTAAAATTCACCAAGGCTGCATTTATTTGATCAAAAATATTATTATTATTTGATATAAGTTTGAATATATAGTAAAATGTCATTTATTCCTGTGATTTTCAGCATCATTACTCCAGTCTTCAGTGTCACATGATCCTTCAAAAATCAATCTCTAATATGAGGATCTGATGCTCAAGAAACATTTATGATTATTATCATAAGTGTTGAAAACAGTTTCATATTTTTGTGGAAACCGAGATTTTCTTGGTTTTTCAGGATTCTTTGGCTGCGTTTACACTGCAGGTCTTGATATCCGATTTTCTGACTATCAACATGAACGAATCTTTTCCAGAGTCAACTCGTTTGGTGAATGAACCAAATGACACGAAAAAAGATTCGTTCATTTTGATGAACGAGTTCGAACAGGGGAGTCACGGACGCGCAGAAAAGAGCAAGGCGAGCATTTGAGCTTATAAAACTTAAACTTTGTTACTTATTTATTAAATGAGCGCTCGTTTCGCTTGATAAGACCCTTATTCATCGTCTGGAATCGTTTAAAGCCCTTTGAAGCGGCACTGAAACTCTCATTTGGACCTTGAACCGTTTGGACCCCATTGAAGTCCATTATATGGAGAAAATCCTGGATTGTTTTCATCAAAAACCTTCATTTCTTTTCGACTGAAGAAAGAAAGACATGGACATCTTGGATGACATGGGGGCGAGTAAATGTGTCCTTGTTGAATAAAAGTATCAATTTCTTCAAGCATTTGAGCTTATAAAACTTAAACTTTGTTATTTATTTATTAAATGAGCGATCGTTTCGCTTGATGAGACCCTTGGAATTGTTTAAAGTCTTTTGAACAGTTTGCAGTTTGCACTGAAACTCTCATTTGGACCCCATTGAAGTCCATTATATGGAGAAAAATCCTGGAATGTTTTCATCAAAAACCATTTCTTTTCGACTGAAGAAAGAAAGACATGGACATCTTGGATGACATTATCAGCAAAAGTTCAGCTCAAAAGTGAACTACTCCTTTAACCTTTTTAAATATGTCCTTGTTGAATAAAAGTATCAATTTCTTTACAATCCGACTGACCTCAGACTTTTGAACGGTACTAGCGTGTGTGTCGGCTATATACACAGACTCATCCCATCAGAAAGTTTAATGAAGAGCTGAACATCTCTGATAAACTTTAAATCCTAAACTCCGCAGGACTGACGTCAGAGAAATCAACACTTTGTCTCTCGTGTGAGTTTTTTCTTCACCTCCGCTGTCTATTCCTGTCCAGCATCTTCGTTTGTGTGTTAATGAAGCCGTCTGCGTTACTGAAGCATCTTGACATCACCTCATATGACTCAGTGCGAATGTGCCAACTTACTAATAACACGTCTAAATATAACACTGCGCACACACCGAGAGCGGTAACCCATGGTTACGATCAGCCATGTGATTTTTATCAGAACACCTATTCCAGAGCACTGAGCGTTTAACACACGGATCAGGAGTTACACAGGGTGTGTTAAACAGAACGAGGACTCTTGTTAAAAACACATATTACATATTGTGTACATTATTTACAGCCTTGAACAGTCGACATGAAATAATAATAATAATAATAATTCATTACATTTATATACCACTTTTCTCGGCACTCAAAGCGCTTAATGAAATCAATATTGACACTGTTTATTTTTTTTAATGCCCGTTCCTGATAAGATTTTTTAAGTTAAGAAGTTAAGATGATAAGTTTTTCAGCTGACATCCCTATCAATATCTCAGAACAGATATTTTTATAAAATATCTTTATATTTTAGATTTTTAAAAAAAATATTTTTAGGCCATATAGAGAGAGTGTGTGTATTTTATGAGCCTAAGGGAGAATGCAATATGTTAATTGTAATTTTTTGTTGTGAATTGTCTTTTTTGCTGTCTTGTAAAGCTACGGAATGGACAGTGTCCAAAACAAATTTCCCTTCAGGGACAATGAAGTATATATCAATATCAATATATCTGTGAATAGCATTAGCACACCAGCTTTTCTAAAAGCACTTACAGACTTACTAACTCATGCAACTATTAGTAAATAATGTTTGTTTCAGGCAATAAAGGGATTTTATTTTGCATGATATTGATCAGAGCATTTTGCATTTACAGTAAAAGTAGTATGTGAAATATTATTGCAAATTAAAACAGCCGTTTTCTATGTGAATATATGGTAAAGTGTAATTTATTCCTGTGATTTTTCAGCATCATTACTCACATGATCCTTCAGAAATCACTAATATGATAATCTGATGCTTAAAAAATTGTGAATATTGCTGTCTTTCATCCAGCAATTCTGATGGAAACCAGCTTATTTCTAAAGCTCTGATCACAAACGTCATGTAAATCTGTCAATAATGAATGACCTTTATCAGTAAATAATGTTTGTTTTGGAGAATAAAGGATATTTACTTGTCTAAATTGATTTCAGCCTTCAGGAATAATAGCTAAAGCCAGCTTAAGGACGGACACAGAGCTGGTTTATTTTGCCATGTCGACCTTCTCGAAAGCAATAGGACAGGATGACCATATTTGGCTTTTTTCCATTGACGTAAACACGTGCCGGTCTTTAATGTTGGAGAAGCAAACGGCAAATTCTCTCTGGAAATCTTTGGGTCATGAGTGAAAGTGAGGAAGAGGAGGAAGCAAAGTTAGCAGGCGACCTCAACGAGTGATAGAGGAGGAAAGCTAATGCACACGACAGCGAGAGAAGCACGGAGACCATTACTGCCGCCTTACAACCCGCCGGGAGAGAGACAGAGAGAGAGAACAAGAGAGAGAACGAGAGAGAGAAAGAATTCGAATTTCTAAATCCATTTATTACAAAATTTAAAACATTGTCCAGTCAATTAACACATTGTTTACTTTTGACCAAAAAAGACAAGACAAAATTATCTTAAAGATAATTAAATCTTAATTATCAGCACAGACAACACAAAATTATCTTAAAAGGGGTGCAAAACGCAGGTTGTCATCAATAATCTCACACAAAGCCCCCTTTGTACACCAAATCTGATCAAAAGATACAAGATCGTTCATGGCTTTAAAATATTGAAAATCAATTAAAATTACTGCCGCCTTACAACCCGCCGGGAGAGAGAGAGAGAGAGAGTGACCTACACACATGTATATAATGTTCAATATTTTTCTTTTTTATGTGTATATATATATATATATATATATATGATTTCTAAATCCATTTCATTTATTAATCTGTTCATTTTATTATTATTGTTTTATGATATCAGTTTTAATATTTTGTGTACTAAATGTTCCAAATCATTTTCCATGTTGTTTTGACGCTTTGGCAATACAAAATGTATTTTTTTGTCATGCCAATAGAGCTTTCTGAATTGAATTGAATTGAGAGAGAGAGAAGGAGAGAGAGAATTTTGAAAAAAACTTTAATTACAATTTTCAACAATAACTCTTAAAGTCCAATTAAAAGTTTAGAGTTAATAAGATTTGCATTTACAGCAAAACAGTGAAATATTATTACAATTTAATGTAACTGTTTTCTATTTGTATATATTTTAAAGTGTAGTTCATTCCTGTGATGCAGTGTCACATGATCCTTCAGAAATCACTCTAAAATGAAGATCTGATGATCAATAAGTATTTATGATTATTATCAATATTGGAATCAGTCGTGCTGCTGAACAAAAAGTGTTTCAGCTCTTTTCTTAAGCGGTCTATATGAATTAATAATTTGTTGAATATCAATTTTCCCAACAGAAATTCACCTCCTATGGAGATTAATATAATAAAGCAATCTTCAGTTATGTCTGAATGCTTAATGAAGCTCCGTTAATTAAAAACAAGAGTGATTAAACGAGCTTTCTCAAACACATTAAGAACAAACTTAAGATGCAATGACAATCAAAACACAAAAAGATGAAACAACAACTTCCCCCGTAATTGCCCTGGAGTTTATCTTTCATCGGTGATCAAACGTTTGCTAATTGGAGTAACTGACAAACTTGCTTTGATTTTGTTAATTGGACTTTAGTAACGAGCGCAGGGTTTGTGCTTTAGTTATTAAGACATCAATCATGCATTGGCTGCAGAACTAGTCTAAAGCGTGTGAAACGCAGATCAGATGTGTGTGATATGAGCGACACTCACCACTCCACAATCACAGGGTGCAGGAGCGAGTTATTCACCTGAAACCTGCAGAACACAAGACATAACATGATCACAACACGTCCCCCTGTGGTCAATCACTGCATCCCTTAAAGGGTACATATCATGCTTTACATATAAATCATACCGTTGTGGTCTATATAAAACATAACTGCAATGCTTGGGTCTGAATTCCTCATTATTATAGCTGATGTGCGTCTGTGAGCGACCCGTTTCGAAGCGGCCCCTTTAAATAAAAAGGAGATGCGTCACACCCGGCCCACTCTCCAGCTCGATGAGTTCACGGTCGGTTCGGCCATTATTGTAGTTTGATTAGAGATATGCGATTATATACGATACCTTCAAAGAACATTTTTATTCACACGTTAATAAAATGTCAACAACAGAAGACTTGTCCATCAAGCCTTACATATTCGAGCCAGAGCGAACGAGTCGATAAAGACGACGACGACGAACCTGCAGAACAACCACTTCTTCATATGGATGTATTGGTATGCGAGTTAACTGTTTTGTGTTATTAGTGAAAGTTAAAACAAGCACACTGACAAGATAAATGACTACGGTCTAATCTTACCACTAAAAATCTGTATTGACAATATGATACGTTTAGAAAAGTAGCTAAATGACCATTGATGAAACTCAAGAACAATAATACTGCAGACGTGTAACGTTACAGAAAAACAAAAACAAAGAAAGACAAAGGTACTGCTAAACCATGACCACCATGTGTTTTAAGAAAGTGAAGTACTTTATTTTTATTAACGATATTTACAGCTTATGGAAATGCTCTGTTCGTCGTCTCCAAAGATAGAAGGAATTTAACGTTACCTCTCATTCAGACGAAGTCGATCGGCAAACCCTTCTGTATAACGTTACTGGCGGAGGTTGTTGAAGTGCTTCAGGTCACTAACGTACATCCAACAACCGAACATTTTGACTCTGTTGTAGTACTCGAGACTCGGACTCGTCTCGGACTCGTCTCGAGACCATATTTTAATGGTCTTGGTCTCGTGTCCATTTGGACTCGGAATTGACTCGTACTCGAACATTTTTTTTTTTTTAGGACTCGGAATTATTCCCGAGTCCACTCGAATTCAATTAAAAATATTTTTCATGATTATTAATGTATGGTAATAAAATATTTCTTTAAATTGATTGACACGCCCAGTGATTGGGGATTTTCTAGTGCGCAACTGCGCATGACAAATTGTAATAAAATTACTTTTAACACCACCTACTATGTGGCCTTTTTACCCTAAACTGATCATATTTTTTAAACTCTAAGTAAATTCAGTAAAAAAAAAAGAAAAAAGGATTTCTCTAAGTAAATAAAAGTAAATTAGGTAATCAACCCTCACTGGTCTCGACTCGGACTCGGACTCGACCGTCTCTGGTCTCGGACTCGACTGAGGTGGTCTTGACTACAACACTGTCCTCTCGTAACTTCTGCATCATTGAGCTCGGACTACAAAATCGGAGCGAGAAATAACAATGGCGGATTGCTCGAAGAGTTGGACCGGTAGTCGATGTCTTTATTTGTCAGTTCCGCTGCAAATACTGTGATGTAATTGTTCAAAAAACGTAATAGAGAACAGAACAAGTTGAAAAATATGACCAAAACAGAATATAAAGATATAAACGAAGCACCTGAAGAGAATAATTTCATCTTTTCTGTACTTATAAACACTCCAAATATACAACAAAACGCATTTAAGGGCTAAAAAAGTGGATTTTGCATGATATGTCCCCTTTAAAACTCATCTGTGATCACCAAAATTACATTTTTAAGAGTTTTTTCTTTTCTCTATTGCCTCGTTTACACTGCAGGTCTCGATGCCCAATTCTGATTTGTTGCCTATATCTGATTTTTTTGACCGTAAGTTTTCACGGTTTTTCAATTGACCGTTCGTAAAGACCCGCCCCCCTTAGTTACTGTCTCTATATCCAACCATAGACTGTAAAAAAAAAGATGGACGACGCCCCTTCGCTCTCTTCTATTGGTCAGAAGTGAAGCCGCCGGTGACATAACCGCAGCCCAATGGAGCCGTCTCGGACTCACATGCTGACTAGAAACCGTTCACTGCGGTTTTAGGAGAAAATACTCAGCAATGCTCTCGACTTATGAATTTACACATGGTTTTGTCTTAAGCATTTAAAAAAAACACCACATAGACACATAAACAATATTAAAAACTTAATTTTCACCACAGGGGGACTTTAACATTTCAACCCTCCCACTGTTTGTTTGTGCTCTTTGTTTAAAACCGATGACATTTGCTTTGATATCTTGTATCTAATGCAAGAACATTCACGCATTTTAGATATTTTCTGACGTTTAAATGTTACAATTACAGGTAACGGCGAATATCTAATCACTAATCTCTCAAAATGTTTCTCATTACGAGTCTTTTCGTGCGTCAGGCTTTTCATCCGAGCACATGGAGGACACGGGAATGAGTTTCAGGAACAGAACTCTGAATAATGGATGAAACTCACTGGCTGATGCCTTCAAAGGACGCTTCACGACAGGTGCTGCCGCTGTCAGTGTTCAGTCCCCGCTACACACACACACACACACACAGAGAGAGAGAGACATTAAACCTGCTCATTAGCTCTCGATCCAGAGTCATAGAACAGAAGTAAAACAATCTGAACCATAATTCCTAACAGAGGGAGAATTATAAAAACATACCCTGCTCACTGGATGCATGTTTATATAATATATATACACACTCACCTAAAGGATTATTAGGAACACCATAGTAATACTGTGTTTGACCCGCTTTTGCCGTCAGAACTGCCTTAATTGTATATGGCATTGATTCAACAAGGTGCTGAAAGCATTGTTTAGAAATGTTGGCCCATATTGATCGGATAGCATCTTGCAGTTGATGGAGATTAGGGTTAGGGTTAGGCTCCCATTCCACCACATCCCAAAGATGCTCTATTGGGTTGAGATCTGGTGACTGTGGCGGCCATTTTGGTACAGTCAACTCATCGTCATGTTCAAGAAACCAATTTGAAATGATTCCAGCTTTGTGACATGGTGCATTATCCTGCTGGAAGTAGCCATCAGAGGATGGGGACATGGTGGCCATAAAGGGATGGACATGGTCAGAAACAATGCTCAGGCATTTAAACGATGCCCAATTGGCACTAAGGGGCCTAAAGTGTGCCAAGAAAACCATTACACCACCACCACCAGCTGCACAGTGGGAACAAGGCATGATGGATCCATGTTCTCATTCTGTTTACGCCAAATTCTGACTCTACCATCTAAAATCGAGACTCATCAGACCAGGCGACATTTTTCCAGTCTTCAACCGTCCAATTTTGGTGAGCTCTTGCAAATTGTGGCCTCTTTTTCCTATTTGTAGTGGAGATGAGTGGTACCCGGTGGGGTCTTCTGCTGTTGTAGCCCATCCGCCTCAAGGTTGTGTGTGTTGTGTCTTTGCTGAATACCTCGGTTGTAACGAGTGGTTATTTCAGTCAAAGTCGCTCTTCTATTGGCCCATTCTCCTCTGACCTCTCGCATCAACAAGGCATTTTGGCCCACAGGACTGCCGCATACTGGATGTTTTCCCCTTTTCACTCCATTCTTTGTAAACCCTAGAAATGGTTGTGTGTGAAAATCCCAGTAACTGAGCAGATTGTGAAATACTCACACCGACAACCATGCCACGCTCAAAACTGCTTAAATCTACTTTCTTTCCCATTCTGACATTCAGTTTGGAGTTCAGGAGATTGTCTTGAGCAGGACCACACCCCTAAATGCATTGAAGCGACTGCCATGTGATTGGCTGATTAGATAATTGCATTAATGAGAAATCTAATAATCCTTTAGGTGAGTGTGTGTATATATATATATTTTTTCTCCAATTAACAATGAAAGACATGGCTGCCATCCTGAAAAACTTTACATGAAGAAGAAGAAAGTATTTACCAGTGTAAGGAGGACACTTGGCTTCATTTTGCTCAGCACATCAGCAATCTGTGAGGAAAAGCTTTTATTAGAGATGATAATTTAAGTGAAACATCATTGGCCTGTAAGAACACCAGGCCTCTGACAGGTACACTAATGAACAAAAGCCATACAGCCTTTGAGGCGAGATCTCCTTATGAAGGAAGAGCCAGCGGCTGACAGACGCCTTAAATGTCAACCAATGAAAGAATGAATCATCAATAATCTTCAGCCAGCTCAACTGTGTGAACAGAGAGAGCAAAGGATTCTGGGAAAGAACACCTGAGCTGTCTTATGTGCTCCAAAAAGTGGATGAGAAGCATTTTAAACCCACAGGATGAATCAAACGCAGACTATATTACCTCAGGGCAGATCCACATTTCTGCCTAAAATCCATATTGATGAAACCAGCACTGAATATTAAAGGCATATTTCATCAAAAAAAAAAAAAAAAAGATTTATTTAACGTAATGTTGTTCCAAACCTTTAAAAAATGCTGTGATTTATATGCATGGACCACAAAACATTATTAAACATCTAATTTTGTTCATAAAAGCAACTATTTAATAAAGCCCAGGCTCTGTGAGCTTATTATAATACAGCTGTCAGGATAAAATCAGATTGACCAATGACAACAGTCTGACGAGTAAATGAAGCTTTCAGCATGTCTCTCCGTCCTGAACGAATGAACCCAGCGAGAACATCAGATTAATGCCACGCGGGGGGGCGAATGCTTAACGCTCCTTATCCGACAAATTACAAACACGCCACGTCTAGAGAACATGAGCCGAGGGACATTTTATAGAGTCAAAACTAGATATTGCCAAATTCAAAGTGTGCTTATGACAGCGTCAACTGCACATATTGTATACAAAATCAATCAAAACTAATCAGATATTAAACGTTTTCGATAAAACTTATGCAGTAGAAAGGAGAAAACATTTCTAACTAAAGAAAACTAATTTAAAAGGATGTTGTCTTCCCTTTTGCATCCAAAATAAAAGTTTGTGTTTACATAATATATGTGGGTGCACTGTGTATAATTATTTTGTATATATACAAATACACACGCATGCATGTATATTTAAGAAAAAAATATTATTTATAATCTATAAAATATTTATATTTGTATCTAATATAAATCTATATACATGAAAATATTTCTTAAATATATACAAGCATGTGTGTGTATTTATATATATAAAATAATTATACACAGTGCACCCACATATATTATGTAAACACAAACTTTTATTTTATATGCGATTAATTGCGATTAATGGTTTGACAGATCCTAATCGTAATATTTACTAATACATTTTTTTTTAGACAAAAAGTTGCAATATTAGTTAACGAGCTGTGAACTAACATGAACATTAAGGTTAATAAATGCTGTAAAATTTACAGCATTAACTAATGTTCACAAATTAGAGAGTTAGCCAAACTTTACTGACCAACGGCCTAATATTTGATGTTCTCAGTGAAAGCCTTGAAATGCAGACGGCGAGCAGCAGCTGTTCATCATCTCAACCTTTCAGAGGTATAAATACTTTATTATTTTGTAAGCAGGCTATTTGACTTATGACAGAAAGTCAGAGGTTTGCAAATAAAAAGGTTTTCAGGAACACAGGATTAATGCATTCTACAGCATTTATTACTCTTGGTTAATCTAAGTTAATAAAAACAATGGTTTATGTAAGTTCAGACTGAATAACTAATGCACAAGTTTTGATTTTAAATCATTTGCATTGTTGCATCTTCAACTTAAAACAAAGCAGCACCTGAAGGATTGTTTTCCTAGGATTGTAACTAAACTGACATTTCATGACGCGTAGTGATGTTACCAGATTAAGTGCTAATGTGTTGCTTGGCTGTGGGTGAGATTGACCTGATAAAGTACTTGAACCCATAATGCGTAATAACATCACATCATGTAAACAGTCAAACTACTGGGCCTGTTATTTACATTTATGCATTTGGCTCACGCTTTTATGCAAAGCATTTGTGACTTACATTACATTGTGACTTATAACAGTACAGATTTACATTCTTATCAGTTCTTGCTTTCCCTGGGAAACGAACCCATGACCTTGGCATTGCAAGCACCAGTGCTCTACTGTTTGAGCTACAGGAAAGCTGTTATTATGCACGTAAATGTTGTGCAAATACATCAACTATAGCAAACGTGGGATTTAAATGAGATGATCGTACAGGTCGAATTAAAATCGCTTTAATAATAATAAAAAAAAAATGGTAACACTTTACAATAAGGTCCCATTATTTAATATAAGTAAATGCATTAATTAATAAATCTGTTGCATGTAGGGATGCACCAATATGAACATTTTGGCCGATACCGAGAACCGATAATTCTTTAAAGCTGAAAGCCGATAACCGATATATCGGCCGATAAATTTAAATCCAATTTTTCATTACATTTTTGAGAGCCTGATTACAAAACAAACGTCTCACCATTAAAAGCCATGTCCTAAGCACACAATTATAATGTGTATAATATAATTTTATATAGCCTATATGACAGATTTGTGCCGCACTTTACTGTATTTTCCTTTAGTGAAATTATTCCAATCATATTTCAAGCAATTCAAAACCATCATGTTGAACAGTGCACATCTGAAGGAAATAACACATTATTATCGGATTTATTACATCAGCCAAATTAAATTAAAGCCAAATTTATTAAAAATCAACAAATATTGGCCGATATCGGTATGGTAGCCGATATATCTTGCGTCGCATGTTACATCATTCATTATTTTAATAAGGTACTAGTATAAGGTATAAACTTAAAACATTTACAAGCATTACTAAAGTATTTTGAAAAGTTAACAAATGAAACTTATTTCAAGTGAATTATTTCAAACTTGTTACCATAAAAATATACTTGTATAACCAATAAAATCTTGCACTTGGTTTTAAATGGATCAAAAGAGTTGTGATTTTCTTAATTAAACAAAACATACTGAACAAATGGCTGAAATATGACATTAATCAGAGTTCTGAAAAATAAATAAATAAGACACCAAAACTGAGACTTTTTAAACAAACTGCTTAATCCGAGATATTGTCGAGATAGATGGCGAAGGAAAAAGTGACATGCAATACATAAATGGTCAACTTTTAAAACATTTTAACAAAAACACCAGCTTAATTGAGTCTGGCAGCCGTGTCAAACACCCTTTATTATTCTCATTTCATGAGTGATCGAGATTAATGGTTTTAAAGTGTCAAAAAAAAATCAATGTAAACAAAATCAATAGTGTTTTCACTTGACGTTCTCGCCTACTGAGCTGAATAGCAACACATCTCAATGTAAGTGGAAAATGACTGTCATTAAAAGCAATCAGTACGACATGCCTGACTGAGTATTATGGAGGAGTCAAGCAGCTGTGAGTGCGCCGGGATCAGATCGGGACAAACGCCGGAGGAACCGAACGTGATCCCAAACTCATGATCTCATTATGTGACCCTGCTGAGCTTGAACTCACAAAAAAATTAATTATCTGACAAAAATACGCATTTCAACACTAAACAAAACTGCAAAAATTACAGGCTTCCTGAAATCTCAAAATTGCCATTGGATGGAGAAAATATGCTAAAAAAAAAAATGGAAATATGGAAATGGACATATGAATGCAGATGCCGTGCAGGAGCAGCTGTACATCATCTTTACGTTTCTGCGGTATACATATTTTATTATTTTGTAAGCAGGCTAGGTTTGACTTATGACTCTGAATTACTTATTTATCATTCAACGCCACCTCCGCATCAAATGCTTTATTCATGGCAAACTCAAGAGTAATAAAATTGAAAATAATCACAATAAACTGCAAAAAAAGTGTTTGTCTTGTTTTACAGAACAAACATCAAAACATTCTTAAATCAAGACGCTTTTACTGGAGAAGCAACATTACAAAAAACGTGAAGTCTTCTCAGAAAAAAATATCAAAATGAAGTGATTTTGTGCTTAAAACAAGAACAAATATCTTCCAATGGGGTCAGAAATTAACTTAATTCAAAGGGAAAACAGGATTATGTGTCTTACCACGTTGGCTTGTTCCTTGTTTTAAGCAAAAACTCACTTACATTTTGATTAATGTTTTTCACATAACCAGCTTTTATTTAGCTTTTCCAGTAAACGTATCTTGTTTTAGGAATGTTTAGATATGTGTACTGGAAAAAAAAGACAGAAATACTGAGGAATAACATCATTTTTTTGCATTATATTATAATTGTATACAATAACTTAATATCACTACAAGCAAGAAAGTGTGTTTATTCATGTACTTCCTGAATAAAAACATTGCCTAATATAATTTAAAGCAGGACATGCAATAAAATATACTGCTTTACAGTATATATAGAATAATAATAAAAATAATAATAAAAAATGAAAACAGAAGATTTTTTTTTAAATGAAAACAATTGTAAAGCATTTAATTTATAAATAGATTTACGTTTAATGAATCTGATAGTAAGTCACACAGGTTTCATACATTTATTATCCTTTTCAAAGAAATCCAAATGATCAAATCAATCAAAAAAAAAAACTTCTAAAAAAATTCGTTAATGTAGGCACACACAGATATCAAGAATAAGACGGTGAATCTCAACAATGGTAACTATAATGATTATAAAGCACGTTGCAGTGCAGAAAACTCATTCATGGCTCCCATCAGGCATTGCTGCATGAATAAATAATAAGCTTATGTTCAGAGGTGATCTGTTTGTCACCATTGCTGAGATTCATACGCTACTTCTTGAGGTCTGTGTGTGCCTGCATATAACTGTTTTTAGAAGTTTTTTTTATTATTATTTGGATTTCATTGAAAAGGCTAATAATGGTTTGCTCTATAATGACAGTGCTGCTTAAATCCATAAGGTAAACTTAACTATATGAGTTCGGTTCAAATGATTGTGAAATAATGATCATGTTGAAACACAACCACTAAACTGACACAGAGCCCAACTAAAACAAACACTGGTCACCATAATGGTGACTTAAAATTCTGGTTTTCTCCTTCAGTGATTCTGCTTGTTAACATCAGGTAGACACCTCATAATGCTCAATCATCACTCAATTATTCACTTAATTATCTCATTAACTTTCGCTTAAAATTACTTAATTCCATGACGTTGAAGTTACATGAACAAATGGTGTTTAACGTAACCCAGTTATGAGGGACCTGTTTACATAAAAAAGTTAATTAAAGCCAACATTTGCAATATTAGCATTTCAGGCTTCCAATATGCCAACAAAAAGATGCTCAAAATGAAATATGCATCTATTTGTTTTTGCGTATTAAACTGAAGTTTGCTTTAGAAACAAACAAACCAAATTAAAAAGATGAAAATTAGCAATATATTTGTACAGTATTATTTAAAAATGCATTGACTAACATTAAAACATACAGCCTTTACTTTAAAAAATGGAATTGCACAAATAATGTCAGGCTTCTTGAAATCTCCAATATGCCAACAAAAGATGCTCAAAAAGAAAAATGGAAATCAACATATGATTGTATTTGTTTTCGCATATTAACCTGAAGTTTGCTTTAGCAACAAACAAACCATCTTATGATTAAGTTTGCATAAAGACATTTACAGTCCTTGGACTCTGAAAGTCACGCATTATCTATCAGCTGAGGGCAACAGCCGAAGACGAGGGCGTTTCTGAATGTCACGGACCCTCAGCGTGTCTCGAATCCCGACGCGGCCCGTCTCAGGCTCTGTTAGCGCTCGGGATTAAACACGGGGTGTTTGTGGGAGTTGTATTTGCCTTGGAGATTTCATTTGTTTTGTAAGATTACAGATATCTCCCTCTGTTTTCTGCTCGCAGCATCTCTGTTTGCCTTCTCAAATGATCTGTTTAAGCAGCGCTGAGAGGAACCTCAGGAGAAGGTCATTAACGCTCAGGCACACGGAGAACAGAAGAGTTGAGGAAGAAACTAAGATGCGCTTGTGCATTTGAATGCAAAAGGGAGCACAGAAAACACCCTTTCAATATCATTGCATTGGCTGGTGACCAGTGCACTTTTTTCGTTAACACAATTTCAGATCATAAAGGTGGATAAACTTGCTTTCTAAATATTTTGCTATCATGCATCAGAGAAAAACTCATTAAAATGCCTCTCTTATGCCAATTTAAAGGTCGCCTACAATCCATTTACAGTCATCCAAGGTGAAAAAAACACTAATTTTCTCGTTATATCCACTGCAGCATCAGCTCTTTTCTTTTTTATTAGAGAAGCAAAAATGTGTCAAATAACAGGACTTTTATTTTTATTTTTCTGCATGTTTATGCAGTTTACCAAAGAGGTGAGAAAAAAAAACAAGTAAAAGTAAAATTTAAAATGTATAGCTGCTGTATATTCACTAAAAGCAAAAAATAAAGCAATTATTTTACACAATGTTGCTTCTTGCGTACGTTTTTATTTTTCAGGGTTTTTATTGGGAATATATAAGCAAAGACAAAAATGGTTAATTTAATATGGTTAATTTAGTTTAAAATGCGTAGTTAGATCCATTGTGTAGATGCATAGTATTTTAAGAATCAAATTTCAATAGGAAAAATTATAAATGAAAAATTATCTTAAATGCATTTATTTATTTTTGATTTTGCTTCAAGTAATTTTTTTAAACTGCTCCTATTATTCCTAATGTTGTTTGGCGTCTCCTACAACATGTTTAGAGTCATCCAAGGTCAAAAACACTTTAATTTTCTCCTCATATACTGTAATTTCAGCATCAGCTCTGAAACGCTTCAGTCTCTCTAAGCTCCGCCTCTCTGAGAGCTGCTCTGCTGTGATTGGCTCATTATCATATCTGACTCTCAGTGATACGAACAGTAACGATGGCGTGGGTTTCACCGTATCAATCTCAGAAAAGCCGAACTCTTCCAGTCTCAGATACACTAGTGTTTGAGGGCGGAGCTAAGAGACGCTGCTCAGCCAATCAACACCACAGGCTGGCATTCGGCTAATGAGTTACATCGTTATGTAGGTTTATAACAAGAAGTGAGACTGGAATTACTGAAAACTCATTTTAAAGTATGTCCCCTGAATGCAATGTATGTCACTTTGAGTTAAAGCATCTGTGAAATGCACACACGAGTTCCTTAAAATGCTGTCTTGGAAGCTCACTTGATTTTGGAAGCAGAGCTCTTGACAAGCAAACAGACATAGAAAAAAAACATCTATCAGGGCATTTTAAAACACAGCGAATTATTCATAATGCAAGCATGACCGCTTTCTACATGTGGAGAACTGACCCATGGCTAGAGGCGCCGATATCCCAGCTAACAACTTCCAAGTGCACTTAAACTGCTGCATCTCAACATGCTGCGTGTGTTTGGGAAGTCACCAGAGGCTGCAGGGATCTAAACTGCTTTATGCTCTTATTTCATTTATTCTGAGGATCTTCTTGCTGCCTTTAGGATTTTAAAATGTGAATTTTCTTATGAAAGGTTTCATTAGTGCAAATTGACTCTCTCTTAGACATGAACACTATTGATATACTTCATCATCCAGGCTGATTAATCAATATTTCAATATTATTGCATTGGCCAGTATCCATTCAAACAGAAGTATGGACAATATTTCTAAATAATACAATATTATTGCACACAGACAGAAGTACGGACAGTGCATTTGTTCTGTTAAGAGAATGAGAGTTAAACAGGATGTTTTGAGTAATTAGCTACTTAATTATTTAGATATTTTAGTGACAAACATTTAATCCACATCAAAACTAATTACAGGGAAATATATGATTGTTTACATTCATTTGTGTGTGTATAATATATATATAATATATGTATATATATATATATATATATATATATATATATATATATATATATATTAGGGCTGGGAAATGATTAATCGCATCCAAAATAAAAGTTTGTGTTTACATAATATATGTGTGTGTAGTGTGTATAATTATTTTGTATATATAAATACACACATATGCATGTATATATTTAAGAAAAATGTGTTATTAATATATCAAATATGTAAGTATATACATGCAAATATTTCTTAAATGTTTACATGCATGTGTGTGTATTTATATATACAAAATAATTATACACACTACACATACATATATTATGTAAACACAAACTTTTATTTTGGATGGGTTAGGGTTAGGTTATATATATATATATATATATATATATATAATACAATAATTATATACTGTATATATATATATATATATATATATATATATATACATATAATTATTGTATTATATATATATATATATATATATACACACATGTTAATTATCTTATTTTTGTCTTTTTGATTATTACTTTATATTATTATTGTAGTTATTATTATTCTAATTATATACTGATTGTGTAGGTGTGTGTGTGTGTGTGTGTGTGTGTGTGTGTGACCAAGTGTGTGTGATCTTCAGTTCCATACGAACAAAACTCTAATTTTAAAGAAATAACGCCAACCAAAAACTACAAACAGAACCGGCCCAGTTAGAAACCAGCTCAAGGCCGCTTAAATAACTTCATTATCTGCATTATATAAGAGAAATCTAACGAGGACAAATGAAGCATTCAGCTGCACACTAATGCAATTATCCTAAGTTAAACATGACTCACGTCAGTGGTGTGATGCACTTCATCCACGGCGTATTTCTCCTTGAAGTGTTCAGGCGGGTGGATCCTGTCGACACACACACACACACACACACACAGGTTTAATGAGAACTTCCTGTGGAGTAATGCACTTTACTTTGACATGATCAAACAAAACCTGTTCTTTCCTCATTTTTAATGAAGGTCGTTTAGGGTTGATTACTCTGACGGGGTTTTAAAAGCACTGAAAACTGATACTCTGCATTTGAATGTTCAACACAGACTGAACCCAAATCTTGATTCTGCTAATGGTCTGCTAGCGCTCGGATAATCAAGTAAATGGACTCTTGATGTCAAGTGTTTTTGGTTCTCGGAAGTATTCATGCAAACACACTCCACCTCATTTTCAAATTGCACATCAATAACTTTGAGAGCTTTAGTAATATAGAAACATGGCTATAAAGTTTGCAAAAAAATAATCATTTTGCCCTTTGTTGACGGTGCATAAAATAGTGATATCTGGGTAATAGAGAAGTACACCAGAAGTAATAGTTAATAACCAAATAACCCATTTATTTTCTCTTTATATGCACTACAATTCAAAACTTTGGCGTCATTAAGATTGTTATTTTTGTATAAATGTATTCATCAAGAATACGTTAAATTGATCAAGTGTGACAGTAAAGATATTTATAATTTTAATTAAATGCTGTTTTTTTTTTCCTCAAATTTCTATTTATCAAAGAATCCTGAAAAAATAAATGTATCAGGGTTCGCATTAAAATATGAACTGTTTTCTATGGAAGCTTGTTTCCGCCACTGAATAAAAAAATAAAATAAATAATTGTGACTTTTTATCTCACAATTCTGACTTTTTTTCTCACAATTGCGAGTTTATATCTCGCAATTCTGACTTTATTTCTCAGAATTGCGTGATATAAAGTCGCAATCGCGAGATATAAACTCAGAATTGCGAGATATAAAGTCAGAATTGCGAGATATAAAGTCGAAATTCTACGAAAAAAAAGACAGAAGTTCGACTTTTTATCTCACAATTCTGACTTTTTTTCTCACAATTGCAAGTTTACATCTCACAATTCTGACTTTATAACACATAATTGCGAGTTTATATGTCGAAATTCTGACATCTTTTCTCAGAATTGTGAGATATAAACTCAAAATTGCGACTTATCAGGCCAATTCTAAGGGGAAAAAAACTAAACTTTTTCCCCCCTCTGAATAGTTTAAATCTCACATTTCTGACTTTATATCACGCAATTGAGACTTTATATCACGCAATTCTGACTTTATATCTCGCAATTCTGACTTTATATCTCGCAATTCTGACTTTATATCTCGCAATTCTGACTTTATATCTCGCAATTCTGACTTTATATCACGCAATTCTGACTTTATATCTCGCAATTCTGACTTTATATCACGCAATTCTGACTTTATATCTCGCAATTCTGACTTTATATCTCACAATTCTGACTTTATATCTCGCAATTCTGACTTTATATCTTGCAATTCTGACTTTATATCACGCAATTCTGACTTTATATCACGCAATTCTGAATATAATAGAAATAATGTCAGAATTACGAGAAGTAAACTCACAATTGTGAGAAAAAAAAGCCAGAATTGTGATATAAAAAGTCGCAATTACCTTTTATATTTTTCATTTTATGGCGGAAACAAGCTTTCATAGTTTTCAACACTGATAATAATCATAAATGTTTCTTGAGCATCAGATCCTCACATTAGAGTGATTTCTGGAGGATCATGTGGCACTGAAAACTGGAGTAATGATGATGAACATTCACAGGAATAAATTACACTTTTATACGCTAGGTGAGCATTTGTGCTTATAAAACTTAAACTTTTTTATTTATTTTATTAAATGAGTGATCGTTTCGCTAGATAAGACCCTTATTCATCGTCTGGTGTCGTTTAAAGCCCTTTGAAGCTGCACTGAAACTCTCATTTGGACCTTGAACCGTTTGGTCCCCATTGAATATATATATATATATATATGTGTGTGTGTATTCAACAACATGTCACCTATGTATTCAACTTTTGCTGACTGCAGAGAATTTCAGAGCAATCATCACATCAGTGAGCATGAAAAAGACACATGCACATCAGGAGAGAGTCACTCACTCGCCCATCCACGTGGCGTAGCTCTCCGGCAGCTTGGGGACGAACAGGACGCATTTCTTGGAGTCCACGTCGATGGCGCCGAAGCAATCGGCCTCGGTCACGCCGAAGGTCCAGTGGAAGAACGACTCCTGCAGGACAACACGAGAGAGTCTGAACACAACTATACAGCATCAAGCGGCTCATTTCCATACACACACACACATGTGCAACTGTGTTCCTGAAATGAGAATTCAGTGTTATTGATACAAATGGTTAATAATGCCACGGCTGACTCAAACTGGAGATATTGTTTGTGCATTTCGGCTAAACTGTGCAAGCTTGATTTCATGCATTGCTGTGCTACGATATTTCCCAGAATGCAAATTCATAATGCAAAATATTGCACACAATGAATGCATTCTTTTCATGGTAGCAAGAGGAGCTATAGTGAACATTGACATAAATGCATCTAACATAAAAGTTTGTGATATCATATGCATGATATAAAATGCCAGACAACTGGTTTATGAAGCAAGAGGAGATAAGATATTCCATAGAAGGAATTATATAATTTTTTTGCTTTATTTGTGAGTGTGCAATTATAAATAAATAAACTTTTGATTAGTATCCCTCAAACCGTACTCACTTAATAGCCCTTAATCCTGTAATTGTGGACAAATGTGGGCACAGAGGACTCCCAATTTTTATTTATTATAAATGTTATATCACTGTCTTCGATAAAGTTTTATCTATCCATTTATGGTGTTTTTGGGGGTATTTTTGAATTTATTTACTTCAAAAAGTACCATATTTTCTATGTAAATTATGCTTATTTTTATGTTTTATTTTTTTTTTAATTTTTAACTACATTAAAATATCATTCCAATAAGTTCTTCGAGCTAAAACCTAAAGATGAAGTGACTTTGCTGTCACCGTTTGTCTTATTTTGGCTTATTTTAGAATGCTCTAAATTACAGTTTTTCCCATTCATTTCTATGGGTGCCCATTTTTGACCCAAATACAAGATTTTTCACCCACTTAACATTGTAGAATTAAGTAAAAAAAAAATGTGTGTGTGTTCAGGAGGCAAACTTAGGAAAAGTAGCCAAGTCTTGTACCGTTCAGATAAAGGGAAGTATTTTTAAAAAGTAAATTAAAACTATTTTGCTCAAATTTGTCCAGAATACGGTTTTATGATTAAGATGCATTTTGTTTAATTGTTGCAAAGCTTGTGTTTGGCTAATGAATCTCCTGTGTTGCATTTCTTTAAATTGCATTTTAGTAAATGAGTGCATTCGACATCCCGGACAATTTAATTCAAATTTCACACTCATGAATAAAAAAGCATCTTCTGTCGGACGAGATCTCCAGCATGAGCGTCCGCAGAGGAGGATTCATGTGTGATTGTATTGTCTTGAGACTCTTGTGTAATGGAGCGGTAAAATAAAACCACCGCAGGAAAGGTGCAACTTCACACACACTTATTAACGAGCAGAAACCAGAAATGCGCCATGAATTTGATTCAGTTTAGAAACGTGCAAGTTAACACTTCAAAAAGAAGAAAACGACAACACGAGACGAGCAAATTAATGGCTATGAATTATTTACAGTTAAAACACGATGAAAGCAGGAAGCCCTCCAGTAATAAACATCACAACAACATCGCAAAGAGATGCGGCGCGCACACAACACTGGATGTGGAGGTTTTTGTAGCTAATGAATGAGAAACACGCTCCTCGTTATGTTCAATCAACATGTAAATGCAGTAAATTACGAGGCTCTATCAAACACCCAACCGAAGCGCACAAATGAAAGGTCTGAAGTCATGCGCTCCTGCCAACATTAATTATCATTTAGCATGACATAAACAAGAGCACCACTTACGAACAATTATAATGGGGAGATGAAGACTCAATAATCATTTAGAAACAAACGGACGAGTCATCGAGATGCATGATGCATGCGTGTTTATGGCTGTGCGATGCATCAAACGTGCCGATATGCTTGATATTACATGTCCACTGGCATGACCAGGAGCTTTATTCTCCATTGGCGGACATTCAAAAGTCACAAATATCAGGTATCATTCAATAATGTGATAGTAAGCATTTTAAGGGCTCTTAAAACTGCAAGTCTCTTGAAGTAAAACGTGGAAACGCTTTACAATAAGGTCTAGTTTGTTAACATCCATTAAAGGATTAGTTCACTTTAAAAAAAAACTTTTGCTGATAATTTACTCACCCCTGTGTCATCCACGATTTTAAGAAATTAAGGTTTTTGATGAAAACATTCCAGGATTTTCTCCATATAATGGACTTCAATGGGGACCAAATGGTTGAAGGTCCAAATGAGAGTTTCAGTGCAGCTTCAAAGGGCTTTAAACGACTCCAGACGATGAATAAGGGTCTTATCTAGAGAAATGATCACTCATTTAAAAAATGAATACAAAACGTTTAGTTTTATAAGCACAAATGGTCGCCTTGCTCTGTTCTGTGATGCGGGTTCGTGACTCTCTTGTTCGAACTCGTTCATCAAAATGAACAAATCTTTTTTTGAGTCATTTGGTTGATTCAATGAACAAAATGAATGAAATGACTGGGAAAAAAAGATTCGTTCAGTTTGATGAAACTCTCATTTGGACCTTGTACCGTTTGGACCCCATTGAAGTCCATTATATGGAGAAAAATCCTGGAATGTTTTCATCAAAAACCTTAATTTCTTTTCGATTGAAAGAAAGAATGACATGGACATCTTGGATGACACAGGGGCGAGTAAATTATCAGCAAAAGTTTTTTTAAAAGAGAACTACTCCTTTAACTAACAATGAGCAAATCATTTCTTACAATATTTATTCATCTATGTTAACATTGGTTTATAAAAAATATAACTGTTTATTTTTTATGCTGGCTAAGGTCCATTAAATAATATTAAATAACTTTTATAATCTTTTAGTTAGCTAGATCATTAATTTTGTCCCCATGATTGATTGATTGTCACAAATATTGGCAATTAAAGATTTAATTATCTTTTGTTTTTGTCACATAAAGCTGAAGCTTCATTTTTTTTTAACTTGTAATTGTATATAATAACAGGAAATTATATAGGAATAAAATAGGCCCCTATGATTTACTGTAATGCTGTGAAAATAAATGTTTGTAATTAATATAACATAACATAATAAAGTATAATGTCATATAATCTCATAAAACCCACAAGTCTGCATTTCATATGAAGAAAGACCCTCGACTATCTTTGAACTTTGTTTATTTTATTTTATATTCTTTGCCATATTATGATTCTCCGCTGTTATAGAGACACGATATTGTGCATTTAATGGCATTTCTTTAAGATGCCATTATTTGGATGGCAAGATGTGAAATTTAAACTGCACAAATGATTGCCGTTTTCTCGAATAATTGCAATTAGATTGAATAACCACGAGCAGAATCACAGAATCAACAACACATAGATTAATAAATGCTTTAGAAGTATTTTTCATTGTTAATTCAAGTTAACTAATAACTAGGGTCGCATTAATCGCATCCAAAATAAAAGTCTGTTTTACATAATATATTTGAGTGTGCTGTATATAATTATTTTGTATATATAAATACCTATGCATGCATGTATATGTTTAAGAAAGTGTGTTATTCCTATATAAAATATTTATATTTATATAATATAGATTATGTATTTATATATATATACAGAATTTAAGTGCAAATAATTCTTAAATATATACATGCATGCATAGGTATTTATATATACAAAATAATTATATACAGCACACTCAAATATATTATGTAAAACAGACTTTTATTTTGGATGCGATTAATCGCAATTAACTTTTGCACAGCCCTACTAATAACAAATGAAACCTAAATGTAAATCTCTTCTTTATATCTATATCAGTGTTTCTGAACTCCTGAAACGCCTCCATTGTAGTCTTGAGTTTGAACACGTCACAATATTCCTCATTATAATAATTAATGCGCAGAATAAAGGGGCGGGGCCTGGTTGAGTGACTTAGTAGTGTGTTAAACTGGCGGTTATGGAAAGGGGCGGGACATTTCCCAAACACACTCGAAGCGCTTGACCAATCAGAGCACAGTGTGCTTTCAGAAGGAGGGGCTTCATAGAGACAGGAAGTGAACAGAGCGTTACTGACAGACTGGGAAGAGAGGAGCCGCAACAATGGAGAATATGACGAAAATAATCAACATTCACGCAGGAAAGAGACTTAATAAAAGTGCATTATAGTTAATGTGTGTGTGCAGCACCTGTCTGAAGACAATGTCGGTGTCGGTGCAGTATCTCTGCGTCTGTTCTCCTCCTTGAAGAACGATAACAGATCCAGCCTGTAGATCCTTCTCAGATTTCAGGCCTTTACACAAACGCTTTCGGTTTTCTGCAAACAGGGCGGCCGATACCCTCAGCGTATCCTTTCCCAGCCAATACACTGCCTTCCTGTTATACACAACACAAAAATCACATCTACTTATTCAGTTTACACACAGATGGCATACATTGTTGATTATATCTTGGTCAAAAAATGCTGAGATGACATTAGTAGCTTGGTGGCTGTAACACAGTTGTTACGCAAGAGCTGGATTTGATCCCATGATAGCAGGGAAGAATGTGTTTTTGCTGATCTCGGCCATAAAACACTGAGAGACACGGACCACAGGCCAAACTTAAAGGCATTTTCACATCTGGTCTGCGATATTTTTTCATGAAATATATGCCTAAAGACATTTTAGACACCATAATGTTGCTTTTCTCCTAGTTTATAGTATCTGTCAAGATGCATAAAGCAACAAAGTTTCATAACAGTAGTGCTATATATATATATATATATATATATATATATATATATATATATATATATATTCTGTTCCTATATATAGGAATAGTCAGTTCCTTAATTAAAACCAAGTCATTATTCTCTGACGATACTTTTACCTCCGTCATTCTTGATGTTCAAATTGATCTCACACGGGGTTTGATATTGGTTTTACCCTAATATGCAGTATGGACAATTAATATTTGAGAGCTGCATGATTTTCAGTATAAAAAAGACCAATAGTTTAGTATGTTTCTCACAATAAACAATCAAAACAACCAGAAAACTTCACTAGGTCACTACGAAGAGCTGCATTGGGTCCTTTGGAAATGATTTAGCATTAAACAGAAGAAAACAATATGTATCTGGTTAATAAATAATGAATTCTTTTATCAGTCGTCGAGGATCTTTTACCAGGATATTTTTTAATAAAACTCTGATTGTGTTTGACTGAAAGAAAGTGTTAAGAGTGAGTAAATTATCAGATCATTTTCATTTTTGGACGAACTAACCCTTTATTAACCATTCAACCATCCATATCAGAAACAGATTATGCTTTTGATTAGACCCTGAGATTACAATAACCCTGGACTAAAAGGATGGCAAAGTGCTTTTTCACTGATATGATCGAGTGTGTAAAGATTAACAGTGATCAGGGGCGTCTGTACAGTGTGTGGTCAAAGGTCACAGCTCACATTCATGTCATTGCACATTAAACACTCACTCCTCTTAAATCATACTGATAAAAAGAGGATAATGTACAGTCAGCAGGTCATTATCATAAAATAAACCCCAGCAGGGGAAGCGGAGAGGCTGCTATCAGCCCGAGGGGTTTATTTTATGATAATGACAGGCATTTTACTCTGCTTAATACAGGGATATATGGACATCAACTATATTGAGTTGAAAGTAAAAAAAAAAATCTATTAAACATAGAAAGTGGTCTAAAAATAAGATTAAAACTACAACAACATACAACATGTACGTAATAATAACACTAATTCAATGCAAATTTGATCTCTGAATGGCCTGAAATCTCTGAAAATCACAATATAAATATACACAAAATATACTTCATATATAACTATTTTAAACAACGTTGTATTGACATTTTGACAGACTGAAATAACGTATTTGTAATGGTAGAGGAAGCTGACTGAATTGAACTGCAAAAAGCGATTAAAAGTGTAAAACTTATAAGAAAACGATGGCCAGTCATAGCATCTCTTAATATACATTTTGATATATGAAACCTAAAACTATGGTGATCAAACAAAGTTTAGACATAATTGGTCAACATCGCCGATGTACCAGCATGGTATTACTACAGTAACATTACATTTTTGTAAGGGAACGTACACCACATCAAATAAAGTAATAGTAGAGTTTATTCGCAAACATAGAAACAAAACCTGTAACGCCAATTAAAGAAGACAAACGTCTGCAAAACATCTGACAGAAACATTAAATACAACGCTTCTACATGTAAACACCGAGCTCCGCGCATGCGCAGGAGTAAACACCTCTGCATGCGTATAATGTTGTGTGATTATGAATAAAACAAATATCCCTGAGTAAAATAAAACACAAGAAACTCACTGCTGTGATGATGCCATGCTTCTGTTGCTCAGCTGGAGATTCAGTCATGTGTTCAAGAGCAGCTGATCACTGCGTGCGCGTGCACGCCACGCTTTCCGTTCACTCGATCACGTGACGCCTTTTCTGAGCCCAAACTGACTGCTGTCTAGTTACTGCAGAGTTACTGAGAAGAGTTACTGAGAAGTTACTGCAGAGATTTTATCCAACAAACACATTTAACCTTGAGCATAGAGTTATAGTGTAAAGTAATTTAGCACATTTAACAAAAAAAAAAAAAAAACGGAGGATAACTGTGAGTTATATGGCTCTGTTCAAGTTTTGTCATCTGATTAGACATCGACATTTCTTTACGATTCGGTACAAACTCTTTTTAATTTTGTGATACAGCGCCACAAAATGTCAGTTACTTTTTTAAATAGTAGATTGGATTCTGGAAAATTAAGTTATTCCAATGTAATGTTTTACGTTAATTTATTAACTATAAAAATAGGAATTGATTTAATATAACTTTAATACGTGGGGTTTCAAATGTTGTGTGTGTGATGACATATTTATGTGTTGTGTTGAAAAATGAAAATGTGCAATTCATCAGCCAACTTTATTCTAAAAAAAAATAATGCTAGTTAATGTAATACAGCAACAACAATATAGCAGATAACGATAAAAAGACTCTTAATGGAGAACTTGAGCTGCAAAACCTTGGGATAGTCAATTAAAATGTAGTGCCTTTTTACCTGCAACACCATTACACGTCACAAACGACCTTGTAACCTATCAGGTCAACGAGTGGATCTAGTGTCTGAGCTGAGTGAGTGAGTGGAGGCGGAGCTCATTTGCATATTCATACAACCAGGGTGTCGAGTTACATTAAAGCTATTTTAAGGCATGAATAATGTTTTAAAGGAAAAAAAAACCCTTTTAAATATATAATTTTGGTGATAAAAAAAATGTTTTTAGGGCTAAAATAGACTGAAGATGCCTGAAGATGCCCACCAGTGATGTTTTCTTTCTAAGGCACATTTATAAAAAGCTACTTAAATGAACTAAGCCCTAATCTTGGCCTAATCCATTTTTCATGATATTTAAAATTTTTTCTAGTGATATGTTTTATGAAAGGTTTATTCTTACAATTCAATTCATATTAAAAGAACCCCTCTGCATATGAAGCCTGACGGAATCCTTGAAGCTTCTTTCTTCCTAAAGTGATGCAACCACATAGCAACACCCTGGCAACCACAAACAAACAAAATGTAAACATGTCATCTCCATTAAAGTGACATAGAACATAAAAAGTAATTTCAAACTAAAATGTAGCACCTACTATAGCGATTTCAGACGCAGCATCAGGTGACCTTTGAAATGACCTTTCCCCATCCTCTCCCTGGTGATGTCATATTTAAAATGGACGCCCTCAGCCTACTCTGGTGTCTTTCCATGGGAGTAAAACATTCAATAAACCATAACACAAGGAACGAGCAGAGCAAAAGCATCTGTTAAAATGAGTTTTTCATCTTTCATCGGTTTCATAATTCCTCCGAATTCCCTCAAACCCGAGAGAGGTATTTTCTGCAACACCATTATACGTTTCTCTCCTCAAGGAAATTAAAAGACAATTTGAAGATGCCACAGTACAATCTATTGCTGTATTATCCCTCTTTTTACCATTTAATCCTTTCAGGATGCGTCTCTTTCTGTCAGGGTTAGATTTGTGGATCTTATCATCAGCCCCAAACTCTAAAATAATAATATATCAACAGCAGAAAAAACACATGATTGCGTTTGTCTCACATTCCCTACAGATGTTGCATTACCGGTCTAATAAAAGTGTGTGAGAAACGCAAGTCTCATCCTGCTGTCTAATGTTTCCCAACCGCATGTGTCCATCAGGGATGAGTCTCTCCTCGATGTGCCGGTAAGGACTGTTTTCTCGTGGTTTTTAAGGAGTCTTGTGGCTGAGATGTTGTAATTGCATCCACATAATCTGGCTGATTAGCTTTTTTTTCTTTCTCTACATCAAATCAGAGCATCTTTCTCAAGGTCTGTCTGCAAATAATGAAGCCGCTGTCCTTCACCGCCCTGTTTTACATGCATGTTGTTTAATGCCAGCAACATGGCATCCACTCTCAAAGTAAAGGCCAATCATTTTTTGTTTGTTTGTTTTCCTCTTATTTTTCAGAATTTGAATGTTTTGAATTTGTTTTATATAATTGCTTTTATCTAACAGTGCTCTATTTTAGTCAGTCAATATTAGTGTTATTTCAGTATCAATGAGATGCTAATCAGTTTTTATTTGTACACTGTAAAAAATATTGATGGTTTAACTTAAAAAAGTAAGTAACCTGCATGGTTGCCTTAAAATTTTAAGTTCATTGAACTGGAAAAAGTGAGTTACTACAATGAAGGAGAATGATTTAACACTCAGAAACTCAAAATTATATGTTATCTGAACTAAATAAATTATTTAAGTTGATTTGACAAAAGAAAAAATGTTGTGATTATACACTGTAAAAAAAATATTGTTGGTTTAACTTAAAAAAGTAAGTAACCTGGGTTTGCTTTAAAATTTGAAGTTGATTGAACTGGAAAAAGTAGGAGGAGATTAATTTAACCATCAGAAACTCAAAATAATAAGTTATCTTAACTAAATAACTTATTATAAAGTTGATTTGACAAAAGATAATATGTTATGATAACAAATCTTGAAAATGTTTTTTACAGTGTTTTCTATTTTCCTTTGAAGTTTTTTTTAAAATTTGAGTAATTGTGATATTAGTACGTTTTATAAATATTTTTAAAAATATATGTTGTTTTTATTCATTTCATTTTTAATTTTAGTTATTTTAGTACATCAAATTAAACAAAATTAAAAAGAGAGAGGTTGCCCATCTTATAAAATAAGTTTTTTTTATTTAATTTTATCGCAGGTAACGTTTAAATGTTTTTAGTTACAGTTTTAGTTAGTATGTGTGCATGTATGTAATATATATATATATTTCAATTCTATTTACAAATATTTATTATATATAGGCTTTTTTTTAAAATAGACCCTTATTAGATTTTCATCCACATTCTGAAAAATAAGAATTAAGGGTAAAAAACAACGATTGGCCTTTTTTTGAGGACACTATCTTTATAGTTATCAGTATGAGCCCTCTCCGATCGGTTAACCACTATTATGCGGTCTGACTGGGATTATACAGAAGCCCAAACCCGGTTGGTCCTCAAACCCTGCATGGTCCAGCATCTGAACTCTGAGTTTGAGTGCATGAGCTCACAACAGAAGGCTTTTATCATCTCTCCACATGGGTCTGTTCTGATGCCAGCTGCACTTTCATCATCATAAAGCTCCTTCTCTGCATCTCTTAAGGTCATCGGCACCTGCAGAGCTCCACTGGAACAGAGGGATGCATAAAGTTGAAGTTTTGAAGTTTTTTTCTGTACTGTTACTGTACTTTCCCCGGGTTACAGACAATTAAGGCTATTCTCAGACTAAAATAAATGTTTGAGCTGTTTTACTTGCACTGACATATCATAAGGTCCCCCTGTGGTTAAAATCCAGCTTTTAAATGGTGTTTTTAATATGCTTTAAGACAAACCATCAGTAAATTCATAAGAGTATTTTCTGCTTAAATTTGCAGTGAACCAAAAGACAGTCTCAAACACACGCTTTGAAATCGCTGGTGTAACCAATCAGATCAACGTGTGATCATCAACCAGTGGATCTCTGAGTTAGTGAGTGGAGGCGGGGCTCATTTGCATATTCATAGAATCACACATTAAATGAAGCAAGGGTGTCAAGTTACATTCAAACTATTCTAAGGCAAGAGGGGGAAAAAAACTTTTAAATATATAATTTAGGTGATCAAAACTCAGCCCTAATCCTGGCCTAATCCATTTTTCATGTTATTTAAAAATGTTCTCATGATAAAGTATGTTTATGAGATGACGGAATCCTTGAAGGTTCTATATAGAATATTTTCTTCTAAAAGTGATGCAACCACATAGCAACACCCTGGCAACCACAAACAAACAAAATGTAAACATGTCATCTGCACTAGTGACTGCTGGTTGTGAACGTGCCATTTGACGGATCTTCACGCTGGAAACTGCAGGAGAAAACTCAAACAACCTTCACTGTGTTTCTTCTGTCGACACACACACGCTCATGCGGGAGAGAGCGTCTGCTTCAGTGTTGCTCACGAGGGCCTGCTGGCTTTGATATAGTCTCAAGGACTCCTTTGATATTAAAGCATCTCCAGCAGCACAAGAGTCCCCGCCTCCTCTGGACACGTGCAGTATGTCCTCGACACTTCTGTGGTGTAAAGCATGAGTCTGGTGTTTGAGAACATGTGGATCACAGCTGCCCTTCTGTCGTGATCGGCTGAAGCCTCGTCTCAACCATCTGTGTGAGATACAAAGTCCCTCGAAACTGGCATGAGCTTCTTTATGGTGTCTCAAAAGTCACGAAACAGCATTTTCCTACTTTACATTAGAAAAAAACATTAAACAAGAAGAAAAATGCTCTTGATTTTATTCACAAAGACTTGAGTGTCATTATTCACAAGAAGTATTGTGAATGTTGACTTTAACCAAATCTTAACATCTTAAAATCAGAAAGAGACTGTATAGACCATTTTGCAAGATGTAAACAAAACTGGAAGCACTTCCTGTTTAGGTTTTTTAATACTACATAAAAGCTGGGATAAAATACAACTAACATAACATATAAAATGGGATCAAAAAAGTTAAACAAACATCTTTAAGATTTTTTCTTTAAATGTGAAATAAAGAGTAATAAAACAGTTAGAAACTGAAACAGGAAGTGTTTCTGGACCAGTGTTGTTTACACCTGACGAATCCGACGAGCGTTCTGTAGGCTGCCATCTTGTGGCGACGCCATTACTGAGCTGTTAGTTACCGGTATGTAAACAAACATCCGTGATAACGCACCCTCGATGACAGCTACAGCCACACAGAATGACTTGTTGGGTTGATGATGTTAGACAGTGGCCTCCAGTCACAGATGAAGGTACAAACGATCTTACAGAATATTTTCGAAAATAGCTTGGCAAGCTAGCTAGGCTAACATTAATTAGCAAACGAAGA